CCCCCCCCCCTCTGTTGTTGCCATGGTATTGGTTTCCTCCAGTTCTTCCACTGCTTCTAATCTGAGCAGTGGCCTTGTCCTTACCCTCTTTGTCTGGTGGTTCCTTGAGAAGTGATTCTTTGATAGGAACAGAGGTAAGGATACCAGACCCTGTTCCCATCAGAGTGTCCCCATCATTAGGATCCTTAACAGCAAAGGACGGTGTAGGATCATCAACATTGACTATTTCCACAGGAACATCTTCCTTCAAATGTTTATTTCCATTGTCCTCATGAGTTTCCACCTCATCCTTAGCGTTAGGGACAGAAGGGGCAGGCTCCTTGAAAGCTTCCTTAGACAAGGCAAAATTAATGTGTTCTAAAAAGTTTGGCTTAATTAATTTTATATCCTCATAGACAAGGCAAAAACTAATTTCCATTAATTAATTAATTTTTCTCTCGACATAACTAATTAATTTAACAATAAAAATAATTCTAGAACAATTATTCCAACTATTAAATAAACATACAGAGTATATGCCCAAATTTAGCCAGGACCCTAATCTGGGCCCTAACCCATACTAGATATCAACAGTGCATAAAAGAAAAGAACATTTTATTAAAAGTTGTAAAAATAAACTTACAACCAAGAGCAAAGTTGGAGCCACTTTGGGACAACCAGAACAAAACTAAACTAAAATATTAAAATATAACTGAGAAAAGAGCGGAGAACAGAGTTCCGGGCCTTAAAGACCCGGAAGAAGGCTTTATGTAAATGAAGGAGCGAAGCCCTCCTTTTATAGGAGAAAATTTTGGTCCAGGCCTCTGACAGGCATGGGCTTGAGGTGGAGGCGCACGCCTGAATTAGTGGAGAATGCGGCTACCTTGGATTTGCAAGCAACTTCCTCCTTGTTGAGTAAAATTTCCATGCATGCTTCTAATCTTTTCATTTTTTAAAATTGAAGATGGTGATGACGGCTGCGGCTGAAAATAACTCCTGCTGCTACGGGGCGCATCACCACAATTGAATATACATTTTTCACTTCATGGATTTTCACCATCTTTTGTCTCCTTACTCCGTTTCATTCCATTTGCACAATCTTTTACACTTTTTGTACCACTTTTGACTCAATTTTTATTCTACGGAGTATTTAAAACTAGACATAACTTTTGTGCACGTTTACAATTATAAATAAAAAGTTATAAAAACCATTGAGAAATTGATTTGTTTGATCTAAAATTGGACAATAACACATTAAATATAGAGAAGATAAGTGTGTACAAAACGGACTTATCAAGTATGCTTGATGAGGCAAAAATTCCTAAGTATTTTTGGGCGGATGCCGTGAGTACCACGAGCTACGTTTTAAACTGAGCCGTCATTAGACCGATACTCATGAAAGCCCCATATGAAATATACAAAGGAAGAAAGCCAAATCTCTCCCATCTTCGAGTCTTTGGTTGCAAATGTTTTGTTCACAATGACGTAAAAGAAAACTTGGATAAATTCGATGCAAAGTCGGATGAAGGAATTTTTCTTCGTTATTCATTGCGTAGTAAGGGTTATAGAGTCTTTAACAAATGCACCTTAACCAATGAGCAATCTACTCATGTTGTTTTTGCCGAAAATGATACTCGCTTGGCGAGAAAGGTTTCTTTTGATGATCTTGTAGATTCCTTGGAGAACATCTATCTCAACGACAATGAAGAAGGAAACAACTCAAAGGAAGCCCAAGACGAAGAAGAAGGAGCCACCTATGAACGAGGAACAACCACAAGAGGAAGAAACGCCAATGCCAAGGGCATGGAGGACTTTAAAGAACCATCCTCTTGACAAGGTAATAGGTGACATCAACCGAAAGGTAAGTACTCGTAGCTCTCTTAGGGACACCATAGGTCACATGGCTTTTGTTTATCAAATTGAACCTACAACCATTTCGGAAGCAATTGATGATAAACATTGGACCTTGGCAATGCAAGAGGAGCTTAACCAATTCAAACGAAATGACGTTTGGGAATTGGTGCCAAGACCCGATGATCATACCATAATTGGTACGAAATGGGTGTTCCGTAACAAACTTGATGAAAATGGGATAATCACTAGAAACAAAGCTAGGCTCATAGCTAAAGGCTACAATCAAGAAGAAGGCATTTATTTCGAAGAAACTTATGCACCAGTAGCACATTTAGAAGCTATTCGTTTTTTACTTGTATTTGCCTCATCTATGGATTTTAAACTATACCAAATGGATGTTAAGAGTGCCTTCGTCAATGGTTTTATTCAAGAGGAAGTGTATGTTGATCAACCCCCGGGCTTTGAGGATTTTGAGCACCCGAAGTATGTCTATAAATTAAAGAAAGCCCTCTGCGGTGTTAAACAAGCACCTCGTGCTTGGTATGAACGTTTGAGCACATTTGTTTTGGACAACGGGTTCAAAAGGGGGAAGGTTGACACTAAGCTTTTTATCAAGAGTAAAAATACAAGTTTACGTAGATGACATTATATTTGGTGCTACTAACGAATCTTTGTGCAAGGAATTTTCAAATCTGATGACAAATGAATTTGAGATGTCCATGATGGGAGAACTCAATTTCTTCTTGGGCTTACAAGTCAAACAAATGAGAGAAGGAACCTTGATTTGTCAATCAAAGTATTGCAAGGAGCTCCTAAAGAGATTTGAAATGGATGGCTCCAAGGCAATGGCTACCCCGATAAGCACCTCCGAACACTTGGACAAAGATGAAAAGGGTAAGGAAGTAGACGTAAAGATGTATCGAGGTATGATTGGATCCCTTCTTTATCTTACCGCTAATAGACTCGATATCATGTTTAGCGTTTGTTTATGTGCAAGGTATCAATCTTGTCGAAAAGAATCGCACTTAACGGCGCTGAAACAGATAATGAAATATCTTGTTGGTAAAATGAACGTTGGACTATGGTACCCCAAAGGGTCCCCCTGTCATCTTTTTGGCTATTCCGACTCGGACTTTGCCGGTTGTAGATTAGACCATAAAAGCACGAGTGGGACACGTCACTTGCTTGGTAGCTCGTTAGTCTCATGGTTTAGTAAGAAGCAAGTCAGTGCTGCGTTATCCACAATCGAAGCGGAATACGCTGCCGCCGGTAGTTGTTGTGCTCAAATCCTTTGGATGAAACAACAACTAGTGGATTATGGCCTTAGTATCGATCATGTTCCTCTTCGATGTGATAATACTAGCGCCATAAGCTTGACGAAGAATTCGGTTCTTCACTCAAGGACAAAACATATTAACATTAGGCATCATTTCATTGGAGATCATGTTCTCAAAAGTGATGTCAAAGTTGAGTTCGTTGATAGGCGTGTCGTAGCACCTACAAATTAATTTATTATTTTCCTTAACTAAAAACCCCCTTTATGAATTAAATATTCATTAAAACATATAGATAGGGCAAGTAAGGGTCGATCCCATGAGGAAAGATACTTTTATTGATATGAAAATCAGTTCACTTGTCACTTTTATTGAATAAAAACTAACTAAAATCTAAAATCTAAAACTAAAGGATATGGGGGGTTTGAAAGATAATTCTAAAAAGATAAAAATGCAAATAAAATAAAGATAAAGGATAACAGATATCAGATACGAGATGGAAGCACAACAACAACTCAAACTCAGAAGAACACTCAGGGAGAAAACAACCACACAAACACAATCTCACAATAAACTTTATAAAACGTAGACAATAATATTTAACTTAAACCATTTTGAAAATACTTATAGTTTTTAATAGAAAATAAACTGAACAAATCTAATTAACTAATTAATTATGTCTTGATTCTTAAATTAAACCGCTAATTAAACTCAGGGTTAGGCTGAAAAAGAGGTCCACCAACAGTTCTTCCCTATTTTCCCATTCATATTAGCTCATGTTATGACCAACCCTAACTCTAAACCCTACTACCCTTAGCAATCCAAAGACCAATCCTTAAGTTACTACTAAGAATAGCGCATAAAAATCTTTGGAAAACATCAACATAACAACTTTGCAGTAACACTACGGTTATTTAACAAAATCAGTTCGAGAACCTTGATTAGCAAAAACTACTTAACGAGGCAGCAATTCCTAATCAAGTGACACTTGGTTTCTAGAAAAGTTCGGCTATTTAAAGCACTTTGGACTTTAAAAGAATATCATTTTAAACTGGATTAGGCGCGCGTTCCTAATTTGGTCCAATTTAAGTAAAAATCAGTGAATAATAGTTCTCAGAACACCTTTTCGAGTTTAGATTTTAACAGTAGCGTAAAGCTAGAATCTCTTCAAAGTCAAATTAATTCAACAAACAAAGATTCAATTTTTTTGTCAAACAATCCGGCCTAAGAAGGTTTAATAATTCCAGAGACAATAATCAATCAATAAATCATAACTTGAACAATTCAACATCAACACTCAAACAATTCAACACTTATAATATAATTTAAACATTCAACAAACATGAAATTGAAAATAAACATATTTAATATGGAGATTCAAATTCATCAATTTTAGAAATTAATAGGTTTAAAAAATCCTAAATAAGAATGGAAGTGGAATCAAAACACAAGAAAAACTCCCCTGACTTGTTCTTCTTCATTCGCACGCTGCACACAGAGGACCTGCTGGAGCCGCCGCCGGACCATATGTCGTCGCCGCGCCGCGCCGGACCTAGGGTCGAAACCCTAGGTCCGACTCTCTTTTCCGTTTCCCTCTCTGCTCTCTCCGTATATCTGCCCCCCTCTCTTGTGGCTTTTTGTCTTCTTTTTATACATGAACTAATCTAGCTTTAGTCTTCAATTTGGATTAGGAATAGGAATTAGAGTTGGAATCCAAGAAGAAGGCTGGGCTCGTCCGTTTCTTGCGCAGTGCGATTACTATTGCTAAAGTAGGAGTCTCTTTTTTTGTTCTTCTTCTCCCGTTCTTTTCTACGGAGTACTTCATTCTATCTCTTTTCTTCTTCTTTTTTTTGTCTTTATTTTGTACTCTAAATATATCTTGAAATCTGTGTCAAGGAAAACAATACTTCTAAATAATTGTCAAATAAAAATATGCTCAAAATCATGCATTTTATGTATAAAATATAAACAGTAGCCTAAAGTGCTAAATAGAACAAAATATGATTATTTATGTATAAAATGCATATAAAATATCATAAAAGTACTAAGAAATGAGAGAATAAAATATGACATTTTGTGACTCAACAAATACCTCCATACTTAGACTTTTGCATGTCCTTGTGCAAACTAAATATTGACAACCTTTTTCGATTTGTTGAAATTAGAATTCAAAACAATTTCTCAATCTCATAACCATCTAAAGTGATGCATGAAACATTAACTAAAAATTAACCATGTCACAAATAGAATAAACCCTTTAAAAATCAATTTACTACTTTAAATTTTAAAACAATTCTTTCACTTCAAACCTAAGTAGAAAACATTTTTATTTAATGTCAAAACTTAGAATTAACTAAGGTCATTGAGAACAATTTAAAAGAAATAAATAGAGCAGCAAAGAGTGGTTAGAAATCCTTAGAAACACTCAAGTGAAGAAAAGCTCAAGAAAATTTATTTTCTTTTCCAAAATTTGGAAACTTTTATTTATTGCTTTCATTTTATATTTTAATATTGATTGTTTGAGTTGACCCGTGTAGCGAGTCTCAACCAGGCTACCCCAGGCCCATTCCAGATAGCCCGGGACCTAAATAAACGAAGTATTCCGAGAGTTTCAACTCGAGTGCTCAAACAATATTTTCATTCATTTTTTATTCTTTTATTTTTACCTAGCCATTTATTGCATTTTTTTTGCTCAATGACGTCGGCTTTTTCTTATTTTTTTACACTGGTTATGGACGAGATTCGTACGGCCCAAAACGGGATTTGCTCTTCCAACTTAGGTTTTCTCCGTTCATAACATCACTTCCTTTTGGAATCTGTTACTTAAGGGGACAAAGGTGCCGTGCCACCCATGCCAACCTAAGATGGTGTTCCAGCATATAAATTATATTCATTTTTCAGCATCTTGATAATTTGTAAATAACCAAAATTGAGAAAAAGAAAAATATTTTCTGAAGACTAACTTTACTTGAATTGCAACTTAGGACAAAAAAGTTAGAAAACGGCTCCATGTATTTCCAAATAAATTGTGCACATTGAACTTAACCAATTGAAAGGTATGAAATAAAACAAAAACAAGTTCTAATCAGATTTGAATTAAGAGAAATGATTTAAAGTTTCTAGTAGCAAACTCATTTTTAAAGAAATTCAAACATATTTGTTACAAAATTAATTTCAATTTAATGCAAAAAATGCAACACTTATGAATGCTAAAAGATTAACAAACTATCTTGATTTCTAATTTTTCTTGAAATTCTTCTTTTTTATATAGATCTTCATGTGAAAGATTACTGTTTTCTTCAAAAACTTTTAAAAATTTTAACTTGTTTTTAATCAAATTGCATCCAAAATGCAAGTTTTTACATGAAATACTTTTTTTTACCCAATTCATGCTCCTCTAATGTGGTATGTGTATAAAAACACGCAAACAAAAAAATTATCCTAAAATATGCATAACTAAATACAGAAGCGTCCCCCACACTTAAATCATGCAGTGTCCTCAATGCATGTCAATGATATAAAAATGATGAACTTAAGCACATACAAGATGAAACAATTAACAACATGAAGCATGAAAAATCATAAAACATATGCCAGATGATAGGGAGGAGATTATAGGACATGGCATGGAAGCACACAAAGCAAGCAAAATTCAAGTAAATGATAAAAAAATTAATTAAATGCATAAAAGTAAAAGTATAAATATCTGGGTTGCCTTCCAGAAAGCTGCCCTCTTTTAATGTCTTCGGCTGGACACTATATTTTGCTCAGGACAATATGGAAAAGTCATATTGTACTCTTATCAACCTGTGATCATTCAAAACAAACTCCAAAGCATACCAAATAGCTAATCACAAGATCAAAATAAACAATAAAAAAACTAGTTTTTGTGATATTCATAAGTATATTTTCCAAATAAACACATAAAGCTCTAACAACTAAAATTCTCAAGAAAGTGATCAAGTTTCTTAAAAAATTGGATGTTATGGTGTGGGATGATTACTTGTAAAGCACAAATAACGAAATTATACCCAACACATAAAATAGTATTTGGAAAACAAATTTTCTTGTTACTCTTGCTAAAACTATTTTTTTTCGTTCAGTGATTTTTTTATGCTGTCATATACCATTTGAGACCAAGTATGATAAAACTGTTTCAAATTGCTAAAACTCTTTTGAAATGGAAACTGTTCAATAAGATGCTTAACATGAAACAGAAACTGTTTTTTCCATATTGTTCAATGATTGGACTGCCATTTTGAAAAACTTGAGAGGTTTTTTGTTTCATATAAAAATGTAGCTTTGAAACACAAATTAAGGATTTAGGCAGAATGCTAGGATTTCAAATTCTTGAGAGCGAATGAAGACGGAAAAACAAAACCAAGGAAATCAATTTTAAGCTCTAATTTCCAAATCACATTCCACTTCTTATTTAGAGCATACTGAATTATCTAGCACAGAGTATAAGAAAAAAAACAAATTGTAGAGGAATGCTAACCAATGGGAAATTTTCAACACTTCAACTAACCCCAGTTTGTTTTAATTTGCTAACCAACATTCTCTGTCTAAACTCACAAGTTGATTTTAAAACAGATTTTTCAATAAGGTTTCAGCCTTTTTAATTATTGAGCAGTTTTTTTTTTCAAATTTGAAGACTATGGTTTAGTGCTTATCAAGTTAGGAAATGTGATTTTCAACTCTAAGCAAAATGCAGACTCTGTAACTAGCTTCAACATATAAATGTGCAAGTTATTCTGCTCAATTCGTTTAGGAGCATGAAAACATTTGTTACTTAGCAAAAAGATGTTGAAATGAAAATGAAAGCTTCTTCTAGAAAAAAAAATTATAGGGTTGAAAATAGGTTTGGCCTGTACCTAGTTTAACCCCTACAGTCTAAGTCTTATTGGAGAAGAAATTTATTAAAAGAAGTAAAAACTTAAATTTCTTATATCTTAGGACCAAGTAGACCTAATCACTGGTCACAGGAATCACGCTCAATTTTTTTTAGACAGCCAACTCGTTAAATCAATGTGAAATCATTGTCTCAATTAAGCATGACTTGAACAAAAAAAAGTGGATTAGGCCACATGTCGAGTAAGAACAAGTAATGATGTATTTGGGAATCATCTTAGCACATTGCCTATACTTGTCCCATGGATACTTAGAAAAATCAATCATTAGGATAACAAGAGTACTTAAAAAAAACAGGTCTGAAGGGGTCACACGTTTTGTATGTCGTTTTCAAGAAAGAACCCTTCATTACTTTGGATCTTATGAACTGAACTTGAACACGTTTTTACACAATCTGTCTCAAGATGAGAATGGGCTAGGAATACTTACCTGGAAAGGATGACTGCACATTTAGAGATGCAACAGAATTGATCCATATGCCATAACATTCATAATCCAAACCTGAACTGTGAAGTAATGCAACTCTTTCTACGGATCTTGAGACTCTAAAAATGTAGCATTGTTTGCGGGGGAACTTGACGACCATCCTCTCAGTAATGTTTCACTGTGTTTGTTCAGGAAGATCTCCGTGATAATTTACTTTGGCCCATGCAATCAGACTTGAAATCAGGTTCTCCGGCATGTTGCGTTTAAAACTGTAACATCTAACCTTCTTTGCTTTAGCACAATTCTCCAATTACTCTTCGTAATCATGCTTACCAATTTGTTCCAATTCTGGAACGTGAGTCTTGCATGTAAATATGCATAGCTTTGTTCTTTTTCTCTCTGGAAGGAAGTTTCCGTCGGCAATTCGCATAAGAAGTTCATCAATATCCCATCTATTTAGCTATTTAAAGCCTGAACTTCAACAAGGAAAAATTTAAAAGAGACAAAACAAGAGCAAGAATAAGTTGTTTAAAGTTCTGAATATTGTTATTACTTGGGCCTACTGATTTTTTTTTTGTTAGTTCTAGATTACTTTTAATATACAGACTTAGAAAAGTTATAAAAAAATTCAGAAAGGTCAGATAAAAAAAATAAATCCTAAACTCCAAGTTAGTGTTAAGTGAAGTCAAAGACTATAACTTAAAACCAGAGACACTAACAACAGACACATCTAAAATTCTTAATAAATGATGACTTTAGTGTACAAAGACATAAACTGACTAAAAAACAACTGCAAAACTGACTACTTATCCCAAAAAGACACCAATAATCCTAGACACTAAGCTAGAGTTTTGAATAGACCCATTAACTAACAAGATAAACACTAATAGCAAAAAAACGGTAACATGGAATACTAACTTTCTCTTTTTTAAAAAAAATTTGTTTTTCAAATTTTTTTTAAGTTTTATTGAATTGTAAATTTTGTAAATTTCATTTTTAGTGTTTTTTTGTTTGTCAAAGCTTTGAGGTTAGCATTTTATGTTATTCTTGATTTTTTTAGTTTTTTTAGTTTTTTAGGTTTTTTTTTTCTTTTCATGTTTATTATTATTTTTTGAAACATAGCAAACTGAATTCCATAAAAACTTAATCTCTCCCCGGCAACGGCGCCAAAATTTGATAGGCGTGTCGTAGCACCTACAAATTAATTTATTATTTTCCTTAACTAAAATCCCCCTTTATGAATTAATATTCATTAAAACATATAGATAGGGCAAGTAAGGGTCGATCCCACGAGGAAAGATACTTTTATTGATATGAAAATCAGTTCACTTGTCACCTTTATTGAATAAAAACTAACTAAAATCTAAAATCTAAAACTAAAGGATATGGGGGGTTTGAAAGATAATTCTAAAAAGATAATTCTAAAAAGATAAAAATGCAAACAGATATCAGATACGAGATGGAAGCACAACAACAACTCAAACTCAGAAGAACACTCAGGGAGAAAACAACCACACAAACACAATCTCACAATAAACTTTATAAAACGTAGACAATAATATTTAACTTAAACCATTTTGAAAATACTTATAGTTTTTAATAGAAAATAAACTGAACAAATCTAATTAACTAATTAATTATGTCTTGATTCTGAAATCAAGTGACACTTGGTTTCTAGAAAAGTTCGGCTATTTAAAGCACTTTGGACTTTAAAAGAATATCATTTTAAACTGGATTAGGCGCGCGTTCCTAATTTGGTCCAATTTAAGTAAAAATCAGTGAATAATAGTTCTCAGAACACCTTTTCGAGTTTAGATTTTAACAGTAGCGTAAAGCTAAAATCTCTTCAAAGTCAAATTAATTCAAGAAACAAAGATTCAATCTTTTTGTCAAACAATCCGGCCTAAGAAGGTTTTATAATTCCAGAGACAATAATCAATCAATAAATCATAACTTGAACAATTCAACATCAACACTCAAACAATTCAACACTTATAATATAATTTAAACATTCAACAAACATGAAATTGAAAATAAACATATTTAATATGGAGATTCAAATTCATCAATTTTAGAAATTAATAGGTTTAAAAAATCCTAAATAAGAATGGAAGTGGAATCAAAACACAAGAAAAACTCCCCTGACTTGTTCTTCTTCATTCGCACGCTGCACA